ACCATTTATTGTAGCTGGTGAAAAAAAAGGTATAGATGTTTTTAATAAAACTTATCTTCAGATAATTGTATCTTAAGTTGGAAACTATGTGTTGACATCCTTGCACAGAGATAGTATTATTTGATTAACACTTGTGATTGCACAATCACGCATACTTTATGATTTCTGGCACCTGAGTGACAAGGTACATACATAGGCCTCACACAGAGGTCTACAGATAATTTCATACCCCAAGGTTGCTCACTGAAATAACCAGATCAAAAACCAGCCGGGCGCGGTGGCTCAAGCCTGTAATCCCAGCAGTTTGGGAGGCTGAGGCGGGTGGATCACGAGGTCGAGAGATCGAGACCATCCTGGTCAACATGGTGAAACCCCGTCTCTACTAAAGATACAAAAAATTAGCTGGGCATGGTGGCACGAGCCTGTAATCCCAGCTACTCAGGAGGCTGAGGCAGGAGAATTGCCTGAGCCCAGGAGGCGGAGGTTGCGGTGAGCCGAGATCGTGCCATTGCACTCCAGCCTGGGTAACAAGAGCGAAACTCCGTCTAAAAAAAAAAAAAAAACAAAAAACAAAAAAACAAAACAAAACAAAAAAACCAAGCAGCTGGATTCTCATCAAATTCCTCCCACCTTCTCTTACTAATCATCTTGCTAAAAAGTTTTTCAACCCACATCATAACCTATCATATTTTTGTGCTGATTATTTAGGGTACATATTTATTCACTAGACTTCTACAAGAAATTTAGCTGTAATCAATAAATATTATGATGTATAAAAGAAAGCACAGCATTTCTTCAGGAGAGATGAGGCTCTTCTGGCCATGTAAACCTAAAAAAAAAATGATTATACTTCAACGATATCTTGTAACTTTGGATGTTGTGATACACGTTCCTTATTCTGGAAGACTTTATAAAGTTTACTTAGAATCTAGACTTGTTGATAATATTCTACAGTGTTAGGAAGAGATGGAAAAAGCACAGTAAGCCACTTGACTGTCACTTTTTAAAATTTCTAAGTTTTAATTTTTAAGCTGTGTCTTCAATTTTTGAGTTGAAGCATTCCTCTCCATGTGACTATACTTCCTCAATGTCCTTTGAACCATTACAGCATAGGATGAGAAAGGAACTAAAGGGGGAATGGAACATTTTTGATCACAGGAGAAAGATGATCTGGAAATCATAACAGTGGATGAAGATGCCAGAAAGAAGAGCTTGTAGGACGTGGAAAACAAAATACTGGGCCCCGAAGGCTTTGTTAAAAGTGACTGTTTGTAAGAATTTTGTATATCATGCCTGTCATAAACATTCAGCTTCATTGTGCAATGAAGACAGATGACAAGAATTTGCTGCTCCAACAAAAAAAAATAATAAAGCAACTTCTCTGTGTCCTTAGAATCTGGTTTCTTCAGTTCCAAACATGCAGTGAAAACTTGTGCCTGTAAGGGCTAGGGGCAGTTGTTTATGTAACTAATTGGACATCTACATAAATATGAGAATGGGAGAAGCTTCCTTTCATCTCATCTGTTCTAAAGCCAGAGCTTGTTCTAACATGAAGAGGCATGCAGACTTGAGGGACATGCACAGTTGAGCTGTCTTACACTGATTCTGTTACATAAGTTTGTTTCCAAATAGCAGGAGGAAAAAAACAAGTTCTAAGCCTCCCTTATCAGGGAGGAAAAGGGCTTGGGAAGGTTTTAGGTTAGGGGAAAACTTTCGTAGATCAGACAAGGATGGGAGATGTGAAGAAGAGACTGAAGACAGAGGAACTGGTGGAGAAATATCCTGAGGAAAGAAGATTATAACAGTAGATGGGGAATTGACAATGGTCAAGAAGACAGGCATACATACCCTTCTTGGAGAAAGAAAATAAGTGAAAAGCCAAGGAGAAGACAGAGATGAATTTTGACACTGCAGGGGGGAAAAAAAAAAAGCCAAGGGGACTCAAACATCTTATTAGCAAATGAGGAGCTCATATCTCCTTTTGCGGAAGAATGGGTGGAACTTGGGCTTTGGGTTGGCTTGGGCTACCCCAAGTTGGGGATGCACAGTGCAGACGGGAAGAGATGAATGAAGGGATAATCATTCAGTGATTATCCTGGGATGATACAGACTCATAGTTGGGCATAAGAAGGTGTGTTTGGAGGATGTATTTAACACCTTGCAGATGGGGTCATCTTTAGTCGTCATATCTAAGACAGCACATTATAAATGCCAATAGAGGCCACTGTAGTTGAGTAGATTGAGGACATGCAAAGCCAGGGTATTAAAGCCACCTACTGGCTTATGAAAGCCGAGGAGAAGGCAAACAAGACATACAGAAGAGAATTTAAATTTTTCACAGTTATATCTTAATAAGCCTTCCCTAACCTAACAATGCCTCATCTGTATGATAAAGAAGACTTTGGGCACAGTTATGATATAACTCTCAGAACCTCTAAGTAGCATTTGACTTAGCGGAGCAAGGCGTTTTAGTTTAAAATGCTGTCCTCCCATTGGATCTGACACATCATAGAAAGGAGGCTGGATGAACATGAGAATTTGGAAGAACCAAAGCACTGTGTCCGTTCCTATAGGCGCTGATGTCAGGGCAAAGTAACTGTCTTTGCCTCTGGGTATAGCAGGGTCCAGTGGACACCCTTGCTCTTCTGTTTTGGTTTTAAATCTGGCCCGTCTGAGGAAGTAGAAGTCCCTTGGTTAGTAATTAGGTTATAACTATCTCTTTATAAATCATTCTCAAAAAATCTTTGAGAACCCAAGAGCAGGGTCTTTTTAATTTGTATGTCTCTACATCTCCCTTAATAGCTGGCATGTATGTAGGTGTTAAAAAATATATCCATAGAATGAATGAATAGATAAGCTGTGCTCTCTAAGAGTCCACATTTCTCTAAAATACAACTTTTCTGGGGTTTTAAGCTTCTATGAGCCTCCTCCATTCTTGTTCCACTCAGCATATATGTTTTGAAAGATACATAGATATCATCTAACTGTAAACACAAGTTGTTTGCACTGGCCCCTGTAGGCAAGGTCTACTCCTTCCTACCGAGTCTGCCCTGGGTCCTCTGCTCTCGATTTTGCTAGTACCTGGACTGGTAATCACCCTGCTCAACTGATTGTGCCTCTTAAATCAGTGGAAGCCATAAATAAGAGGTGAAGTGGAGGAAGCATGAATAAATAAAAAGGAGGCTACATAACCATGATGTGTGTAGTAAGTGACACAGTCTCAGCTTGAAATCACCACTCCTGCCAGATGGAAGTCTCAGCTTTTTACTGCCTTGGGACTACTGGTTACCAAGAACGTAACCAGTCCAGTCAATGCCTTTGTGTGAGTTAATAAAAGGTGTCCCTCTACAGAGGCAGGGGCAACCAACGCCAGAGTGTCTGGCAGGGTGAGGCAAACGGGCTGGATGTCAGCCTCCCCTGTACCATTCGGGTGGGTAGGCACCTTGTACAGTGAACAACCTGCATGCCTGTATTCTTTGCCCCTGCTGGTTCTGCACTCGCTTGGGCCTAGGTCTCCTGGGAGGTTTCCTACTCAGTCCCGAGGTAAGAATCACAATCCCATTCTAAAAATTGCATATAAGTTTCCCAGTCCAAACTGTACCTTGGTAAAAATGAGAAGACAGAGAGGAACAGTCCAGGGCGTGCAGGATGTGCTGCGATTAGATGTTTGCATCACTCTGAACATGCTATTTTTCCTTCAGTTAACAAAACTAATAGAATAACTCTACATGAAAGGCTTTGTCTGCTACATAAAGGCAAACTCTAGTTGTCTCTTCACATTCATCTTTGGGGTTTAGTGCTAGCAAGTGTAAAAATTACACAGATGAGGTTTACTTAGACACTAGCTGTACCAGTCCAGTAAAGTGATGGGGGGAAGACAGGGGGATGCATTTCCCTCATTTCCTCACCAGTCAAGTCTGGGTTTCCAGGGCTCTTTTCAATGCAACTATGCTAAATCAGGCAGTCAAGATTGGAGTTTCACTAAGACAATTTGATTAAACCCTGGGCAGGTCCTGCTACCTTGCCCTACCAGCTGGATCTCAGACTGACAGCTTACAGGGGCTGTCAGGGTTGGAGGGGGTGAGGTCCAGTGGGAGTTGTGTCTCTGCCAAAATCTGAAACCAGTTCTGAGCATGACCAGTTTCTAAACCAGAAAAAATAGCTCTGTGGATCTGACCAAAGAAGGCTGTCAATTTTTTTTAAGACAATGGCAGGTTGGGATGAGTGCAATGTGGGCAGGAGGGTTGGATTCAGTTAGTAGAGTCCCATCTTTGAATCCACGAGATTCACCTTCCATGATATCAGCCTCCTTCTGCCACCTTTGCTGTGGGAGTAATTTCTTAAATATTTCCAAGAAATTTGTGAGGCTGGATTTGCTTCTGTGGCAGGGCCCCATATGTGTCTTTCCTTGGGAAAGATGAAGTTTTCAATTAAAGGAAGAATTCCCTGGCCGCTTCTTTACTATTACTCTTTCAGAGTGAGATGTAGCCCCTAATTGCCCAATGTCAGCCAAGACTCAGCACCCATTCTTCACCAGTTACCACGATACCCGCACCTCTACCCCACAGGGTAGTAAGACAAGATCTGGGTGGGTCCTGCTCATTGCTTGACTTGATCCATGACTGTAACTGGGGCCTCTGTGGACCAGGAGACCTCAGCTTTTAATGGGAAAGTCAGTAGGAGTTCAGTAAAGGGGTCCAGTGGGAAGTACCCACTTGGCCTTCCCTACTTATAATCGGTAACACATGTTGACTAGATTCAGAAATATGTCATTGCCTCATAACTGTTTGAGATTCCAACTTCTGGGCACCCTGGGAGAGGAACAGTTGTTATGATAAGGTCAGGATCTGGGGACTGACAGCAGAAGCCATGTAGCGCCTCTCCTCTCTGTGTTGTCTGTATCACTTTCAGGCAGCCACAGATCTGGCTGCTCTCAGACTGACAGCCCAGGCAGCCTTGCCATGTAGAAATGAAGTAAACAACTAGATTTCATTCCCTAGGAGAATACGTTGATGAGCATGGTCACTGCCAGACCTGTGAGGCCTCATGTGCCAAGTGCCAGGGACCAACCCAGGAAGACTGCACTGCCTGTCCCATGACAAGGTAAGTGACCCCTCAGGATCTCCTGGTGGTGGGAGCTCATGGATTGCAGGGTGGAAAGAGGAAGATCTCACTACCTTAGTGGCACCCCATGGGCCTGGAGAAAAAAAAGAACCAAACTCCTTCCCACTCCACAGATATTCTCCTTGGTCTGGGCACAGCTCACCTCTGTAATATTCTCTCCCCGTGATGCCCAGTTCCCACAAGGACTGGTTCCCTGGACATGGAACAGGTTTCCTCATCAATGAATAGGGTGCCTTTGATGCCACTTTTGATGCCTGAAATCTCATCCTTTTCTGCACACCCTTCCCTCAACCATCATTTGCATCTGCTGGTCAAATATCTACTTATTTCTAGTGTCAGTTCAAGGGTGAACTGTTTTTAAAGGCATTTCTGACCTCTTCCCAGTTAAAAAAAAAATTGTGCCCTTTTGATCTCTATAAGCTTCCATGAAAGTATCTGTATCCTTTGAAGGTTTTCACTCACAAAGCTATCTCTTCATTAGACTGCAAGCTACTTGAGTTACTCGTGTTTGATCTCTAGTACCTACCACGGTTCTGGGATAATAATAGGCACTCAGTAATGTTTGCTAACGGAGTTACTGAGGAAATAGCAAGTATGCAAATGGAATGAGCATCTTTGCTAATACACTGGGAACTTCTAATGAAGAAAGCTGGAGGCCTGTTGTATTTTCAGTCAATGCTCCTCTGAACCCAGCACTGAATATTTGTTGGCTGCTAAGTGTTTCAACAAATGGCCTCATCACTGCCCTGCCCAGTGCAAAGGAAGCAGGTCTCTTGCAGGCAAGGATGATGAGGCTGCTCTAGCGGCAGTCACTTTGCATCTCTGGGATGGGCATCCCTCTGCTTTGCATAATGGTTACTTTGTCCTACTTCTTCTGCAGGACTGTAATAGTCTTGCAAGTGGGTGGTGAGGTGTATTTGTTCCTTTATTCCCCACAGTGATCAACACGTTGTAATTCAATAAATGTGTTTTATTGAACTTGATGAAGTGTGTAATCAATATCATAGGTTTGGCTCTCGAAATAGCTCCCTCAGAAAAAGGAAGGAAGAAAGAAAAGCATAAATAAGAGAAGGGAAAAAGAAAAGAAGGAAAAAAATAGGACCAAAGAAGAAACAAAGGAACAGTTTTAAGAATTTTCAATGCTTAACCATGAGCATATTTTCCAAGTGTCTCTTTAAAATAACTATGCCTGTAAACACTGAATTTGCTTCAAAGAGGCATCAGGACATACTCTAAGACGGGGATAGCAGTCCCAAAATGAGGTTCTGTTTTTCCTCCAACTCTCCACCATACCAACAATCAAATTCCAATGCATGTTTGGACATCTTTTGAACTAGGGGAATATTTTAGCATTTGTTTAATAAAGCAGCTACCACCCTTTCTTTACAATTTTATAAACCATTGGGTTTAGCTCCTTAAAGACAATAAAAAAACCTGGAGGAAGCAAGTGCCCTCTTTGCTGCTGTATTTAATATGCAAAGCCCTGTGATGCTGGGGTCCTCACTGCCTGACCTAATTTTCCTGCCCAGTCCTAAAGGAGTAACAGAGTCAGTGAACTAATTAAAAACATTTCAAAGTTACCTCTGTTCTGACCCAAGCTAACATTTTATTTGATCTATTTCAATGAATTCAGAAAGGGAAAAAAACTTTTTACTAGATTTCATTTTTTTAGAACATTAAAGCACCAAGAAATTACACCAAGTGCCCTTGTAATGGCTTAATTAGGCCAAGTCAACAATCAGCAAATAGGACCAGCTAACCCTGACATGTCGTCTCTTCTGTTACAGTTCACATCTCGCATGTGTGCATGCGCACACACACACACACACACACACACACACACACACACAGACCCTGGGGCCTTGTGGAATACTCAGTGCTAATGTTAACATCATCACTGCCCAGCTCTTTAGCACTTGGTTCCACTGCCTTCTCCCTTTCTTTCAGCCCTATTGGATCTGGAATGGTTCACTGCCTATGAAAAGGTCAAGAGCAGGCAGTCGGGTGGGGAGAGCTCTTCTCCTGCAGAGACGAGCTTGCCTGGGCATCTCAGGAATCCATGAATTGGATGACTGGTAGTCCCAGAGGATGCCCTGAATTGGTTTTAAGGAAAATTTTCATCAGCTCCATTTTCTACTTTTATAGAGCAAAATGTCTATTCTCTTCCACTAGGAAAAATTTGTCGGCATCTGTTGAAAACTGTGGCCATTTGAAATGGGATTTTTCTTCAAGTTTCCTAGCAATATTTTTGTGGGAGGTTGGAGAATGTGGGGTGGGGCATGGTGGTATCATTCAGTGCCTTCACTTAAGCATAATTGTCTTCCCTATCTTTCTGTCTTTAGAAATAATCATCCCATTACAAAAATTGGAGATCTATGCTTTTGTCAGGGTGAACATGGAGGGAATGGTTTAAAGCGTGATTATGTACTTGATACGTTCATAAAATCAAGTCAGCAAGGCAGACCCTTCTCTATGTCAACATGGAAGTGTTCCATGTCTACTTCCTCTCCAATTTCTGAGTGGTTTTTAGTGGTTCCCGTTAATGGGAAATCATCTCTCCCAAGACAAATTATTTCCCCCTAACCAATCTGTTGCCTAATCTCATAAAACAGCTGTCCCAAACCCCCAGACCATGAACCAGGTATTTGTTCATGGCTTATTAGGAGCTGGGCTGCACAGTAGAAGCTGAGCAGCACGTGAGCAAGTGAAACTTCGTCTGTATTTACAGCCACTCCCGATTGTTCATATTAGTGCCTGAATTCCACCTTCTGTCACATCAGCAGCATTAGATTCCCATAGGAGTGCGAACCATATTGTGAACTGCACACGTGAGGGATCCAGGTTTTGTGCTCCTTATGAGAATCTAATGCCTGATGATCTGTCATTGTCTCCCATCACTCCCAGATGGGACCATCTAGTTGCAGAAAAACAAGCTCAGGGCTCCCACTGATTCTACATTATGGTGAGCTGCATAATTATTTCATTATATATTACAATGCAGTAATAATAGAAATAAAGTACACAATAAATGTAATGCACTTAAATCATCCCAAACCATCCTCTGCCTCCAATTTGTGGAAAAATTATCTTCCATGAAACCGATCTGTATTAGTCTGTTCTCACGCTGCTATGAAGAAATACCTGAGGCTGGGTAATTTATTTAAAAAAAGAGGTGTAATGGACTTACAGTTCTGCATGGCTGGGAAGGCCTCAGGAATCTAACAATCATGGGGCAGAAGGCAAAGGGGAAGAAAGGCTCCTTCACAGGGTGGCAGGAGGGAGAAGTGCTGAGCAAAGGAGGAAAATCCCCTTATAAAACCATTAGATCTCATGAGAACTCACTATCATGAGAACAGCATGGAGATGCCTGCCCCATGATTCGGTTACCTCCCACTGGGTCCCTCCCACAACTCAAGATTATGAGAACTACAATTCAAGATGAGATTTTGGGTGGGGACACAGCCAAACCAAATCACAATCCCTGGTGCCAAAAAGGCTAGGGACCACTGCTGTATAAGATAACATGATGATGTACTGCACATCCCTTTCTCAATTGATTTTAGCAAGAAAATAAACCCCTAGAATAAATTTGCCCCGTTCTTTTCAGCAGAACATCAAGTAGCTGCCTTGCTTATAATTCTCAGAAACCGCTTCCAGTTTTTCTTATATAAAGATTTGGGTTTTTTTTGTTGTTGTTGTTAGTTTGTTCATTTTAAACTAGCCACATCCAAACTGTTCCTTGAAAAGTCTTCTAGCTCAGTAACTGGTGCCAAGGTGGGGCTGGGATATTCCCCCTTGGCATTAGTGCCATCCACTAAAAATCTGGGCTGGGAGCACACGCATCTCATTCTACACCATGGTGCAGGGGATCTGTTTTGACATGGACAGCCAGATGTGTGTGAGTGTCTGTTTAGGACTGGGACTCACACTCAGCAATGGGCCAAAAGGATTCTTCATTCAGTGGTGCTGGGGATGGTTAACAGAATGTGAAGGCCTGGGAATCCAAGAGTGAGGTGGACTTCTGTCTTAGGTTGTTGACTTGAATCCCATTCTGCCTCCAAACAGATGCAAATGACACAGACTTTCAGGGTGTCAGAACAAATGAGAAGGAAGACTGTAAGTGACGTGCTATTCTGGATGCCTCGCCACCATCCAACTTTCCTCTAAACCTGAGATTGAAATGGCCCACTCCACAGTTAAGGGTTTGGTTCTAGCTCTAGAAACAGTGAGGTTTAAACAAGCCAGTGCCAACACAGGAACAAGCTGCCTGAGGCCTACACCTGACCTTTTGTGCGGTGTCCAGCATAAGTGGAGAGGAGGGGTAGAGAGAAAAAGACATCTTCCCTTTCTTCACAGGCCCACTCAGATCTCTCAGGCCTGGATGGCAGCATCATGCCCACAGAAGCATGCACATGCTATGTGCTCAGTGAACCTCACAATTGATACAATTACTGCTATTCTAAGGGAGCTGTAAGAGATGCCAATTTGTTGTCACCTGTATTACATAGGAATCATTTAGCAGATTCCACAGTAATTCAGGCTGTCACTGAGCAGTGATCCCAAAGAGTGCTCACCAGACCAGCAGCACTGGCATCCTCTGGAATGTCAGAAATCAGAAATGCAAATTTGACATTCCAATTTGCCAGAGATGCAAATTCTCAGCTGCTTCCCCTCAAGACCCACTAAATGAGAAACTCTGGGTGTGCAGCCCCCAGCTCACTTCATCTATTCACAGTACCTATGACTCTTGCACTTGTTAAACATTTTGTATTTTTCTGAACAGCATTCTTGGATATGATTTACTTAATAACATTTGCTGTTATGATTACTTTGCAAAGAATAATGAAGCAAAGCTATAAAAATATTAACAATGACATTAGGTTATATATTATATATATGTAAAACCAAAGTTTTAGAAGCCCATATACTAACTCATCTGTAATTCCCTTTGTAGGTTACGGGCATGCTCAGAAAATAGAGACTGCAGTACTCCATATATCAGGAAATGCTTGTAAAACACAACACTCAAAATCAGAGTTCACTGATTACTTGCAATATACACAGGCCAGGCTTCTAAATAGCACCTGAGCTGCGAAGCAGTGTTTTATTCTACTGGTCAAGAGCCATTGGAGCTGACATTTCCCTTGCAAAGCCTAAGACTGCTGATAAAGGAAGAACATTTCCTCCAAGGCCCGTCTCAGAGGCCCACTGAGTGTATGGAAAGTTTAGAGACCTCCCTCTGACTGTTGGCTGGGTTTGCCTGGGGCCTACAATATGGATTAAATCCCTGTGGGCACCAGTTAGCTTGTTTGGAAGCAGATTCGGGATTGTTTTTGCAGCCTGTTTCTGGCATGCTGGCTGTTAGGTCCAAATCTTGGACCAAGGATGGGTACGTGACTAATATTTCACATGTTCTAAGATGATCAGTCCCAGGCATCCCTCTTGTTTCTGCAACAATGAAATGAAATCTGCACAGCAAACTTGAATACCACATGTTCTGATACTTAGGGCCACTCTGGAAAGTTGCCATGATGAATTCTAAAAGTCTGCTTTTCCTCTAGGATTTTAGATGATGGCCATTGTGTATCGAACTGTCCCTCATGGAAATTTGAATTTGAGAACCGATGCCATCCATGCCACCACACCTGCCAGAGATGCCAAGGAAGTGGGCCTACCCACTGTACCTCCTGCGGAGCAGGTAAGAGGGTTGCCACTCCTGACCCCAAACCTGTGCCTCTCCTGATGGCCATCATTTGGTTTGACTCGAAAGCCTTGTGTCTGGGTTTGAGGGTTAAGATCAGACAGTTGTTCACTGGATTGCCTATACAACCTTGACATTTCTGCTTGTTGTCAGGACACAATAAGCTTGTTCACCTAATTTGGGTGTAGACTCAGTGCCCTTGAAAAGATGAGAAAGCACATGAGAGATGCCTTTCGAGAGAAGGAAAGAGAAGGACATAGAAACATGAGGTCAGACATGAGATAGACAGCGATGCTAAGATTTGTGGAGGTAAAAGTGAAAAGCTAGAGAATTAAGAAAGACACGTTCTGTCTTTAAGGGAAGTATTGTATTAGATGCTGTGTCTGGGTCTTCTTGGAACTGAGCTATGCCACTTAGAAGTTGCCAGCGCTCAGCAGGAACAAGGTCATCATTTCAAATGATTACAAAAGTGACCTTTTGTGTCCCAGATTTACCTGCACTGAAAGTTTCCTGCTGCCATTGGATTCTGTTTCATGGTCTCAAGAGTTCTCTGCATTTTGACCCTTGACTCCCCTCCAGCCTCAACTGATATGCCTGTCCCCTACTGACCTCATGTGGGCCAGATTCAGATTTTATTTTTTTCTATATACTACTTTTTAAATTTGAGCCAAATTTAAAAGTTGGGACACTGCAAATAAAAAACTTGAGGTTTTAATATATCTTGAAAATTCAAAAGACCTGGCAGCACTGGGCCTGTATTTCCCAAATCATTGCCTGGAGTCCAAAAGACGCTGCTCTCCATCTCTTCCCAGTCCCCACCATTTCCAGCTGTCTCACTGATCCTGAGGCTGTCCGTTACCAGCATCATCATTTCATCATTTTTCTGGTAGAAGAGAATTATCAATCTTTATTTTTCCTTGCAATAAACCAAGAAAAATGAAGACTACATTGAGAGTACCATGCATTTGCAGGAGATCAGAAGATAACACATTTCTTTGTATACACTAAAAATTATTGTTTTGGGTTTCTTTTGTCAAAATGTGACAAATATCTGTCATATTTTACCTCTAGACTGTCTTATTCTGTTTCCTTCTTCATCTATAAGCTGATGAGAATGCTTACTTCCTTAAGAGTTTTTATGAAAATTAAATGACATGAAATGAAATAAAACAATAAAGCATTGAGAATAGGGCTAGCCACATGGTGAGCACTCAGGGAATATTAACTATTCTTATTTTTCTTATCGTTACTGTATAGCTGCTTATTTTTTTGCGCATTTGAGTTTCTCTTGCTCCTAACTTTATTTGCGATGTTTTCACTTGTTGTCTGGCTGATGTCTTTGTATTTCATCTTAGTTTCAACATCATTTCCTCAGTGAGGGCTTCCCTAACCTCCTTGCCTAGAGTAGGCCTTCACATGAGCACCCTGGGAACACTGCCCTTCCCTCTTCATGAGCCTCAGCACATTTGATGTCCATTTGGTCCATAATTGTCTATACCCCATATGAGCATGGAATGGTTTCTACCTTGTTTCTGCTGTATTTTGAGCACTAGCACAGTGTCTGGTATATGGAAGGTGCACAATAAATAACTGAATGAATGAATTAATGAATGGTTCAGAGGAAGGAATGTTAAGACCAGCAGTCAGAAAATGTGGGTTCAAGTCCCAGCTTTGTTACTGACTGACGAGAAGGTACTAAACCAGTCATTTCACTTCTTTATGCCTCTTCTTATATGTTAAAAAAAAAAAAAAACAGAGAGAGAAAGGTCAAGATGACATCTAAAATCTCCTTCACATCTCTATACATAGCACAAAATTAGAAAGAAGTTTAGAAACCAAACAAATGTCTAGTCTTCTAAGCATTCTACAGCTACTTGAACCAATCTACCTATAAATGAAATGCTCTGACATTTCTTCTGTACTTTCTATTTGAAATTGTGTTTAATCCATTATCTTAAACATTTATCCCATCCCTTCTATATACAAGTTACTATGTATTGAATGTCATGGAAAATGAAATAGATGATAGCATGATACTCGCCTTCAGGGAGTTACAGTCTAACAAGAAGGTTTGTCCTCATATGTTACACAACAAGAAAATAACAGATGAAAACTAAATGCATGGTAGAAATCCTACCCCAGATCAGAGAAGCATCATCACTTCTAGCTATAGTGAGCAGAGAAGATAGATGATTTAATTGAAGGAGTTCCATATCCATAAATGGAAGCTTTAATAAAAGGCTAAAAATCCTCCAGCTGGAGGGTCCCATCAACTTTCATAAGTCCCTCTCACCAGTTTGTAGAGATTCCATCCCTTGTTTAATTGTGACTTTATTAACGTTTATGTGTGATGCCTTTTGGAAGTGTACATCTCCATCTATATTGCTGAGGATTCACTTCAACTCTATTCCAGATTTATTCAGCTCCAAACTGACCCAGAGCTAAGTTCCATCAGTCACACAACAGCTACAGTAAGCAAAATGTGGTAGTCAACTTCATTAAATCTGTTTTCAGAGTCTGTCCTCTTTTCTTTTATCCTTTCCAGAAGTCCTTTCGCCTCACGCCTTCAGCCCTCACCTTTCCTTTTCTTCTACGGACATCCAATATCTTTATGCTGGTCTACCTTCTCGCTTAACAGAATCAGCTCCCAAGAAATGCTCTTGTAAAAGGGAATTACTGTCCAGAATAAACAAAAGCCAATCCAAACTCTTATCCCCTATTATCCCATTTGAACTCCTGTCTCCTATTTTCCCAGGAAGGTTTTTGGTGCCTAACAAAAGTATAAGCCCTTCTACCACTGGAAACATCTTCAGCTACATACTATTATAATAATTTAAAGTTGAAGACCCTGGGCAAGTAGCCAAAAATTTATGCATGGTATTTAAATTTCTGAGCTGTTCAAATTATCATCCATAACTAACTGAGCAGGGCTACTCGAAATTTGACCAAATCTTGACATAGCCCTGGACCAAAGCTGTGGGAAAAGCTGATCATGGCCAAGACATCTAAGTGACCTCCCTTTGCAGGTCTATGTATTTTAAACACTGAGACCCCTTCATATTCCCGTTCTTTAAACAAATTATAACACTCAAAGAGGCCTCTCAATAAAGCCATGTTCAAACAATAAAAATAAGATTGAATAACATTTTCTTCTAAATCTGGGCTCATCATTGCTAAGATTGATTATCCAGTTGGGGATAGGGGAAAATGGAATATTGCCAAATATGAATTCACTCATTCATTCAATCATTTTACAAATACATATTTAGAACCTCAGACTCCCCCTAAGCATCTGGATCCTGAGTTTATGTCACGTGACGGCACAGGGGCTGGAGAAGAGGTGGACTTCCTCACTGCTCTCCCTCACATCTTCCTACCTACACCAGAGAAATTGGGGAACTCTGAAAAAAAGATTTTGTTCTGAATGTGTCACGGTGGGGGGAAACAGCATTGGCTAAGGTTTCATCAAGTGGCTGAGAACATAACTTGGAAGGTTGACCTTCTTGTGATCTCCAGAGATCCCAGGTTCTACCAGATCAGAGTTTTGTGCTCCACAATGTTGATTGATAGCTATAGAATCGCCAAATTCACATTAGTCCCCTAAACCCTCTTTTTTTCTTAGAGGATAATGTCTTCTATGTCTAACTTGGAAACAGCAGAATATTTTCTTTCACCACCTCTGTGGAAGCCCTTTTTATTATCTTGGTTCTACAGGAACCAGTATGATTTCTGGTGAGAAATCATAATCAGCAAAAAAGATAGCTTAAGGGTCCATAATCCAAAAGTGTGTTTTAAAAATTGCCTTTCAGGCCAGGCATGGTGGCTCACACCTGTAATCCCAGCACTTTGGGAGGCCAACTCAGGCAGATCACTGGAGTTCAGGAGTTCAAGACCAGCCTGGGCAACATGGTGAAACCCTATCTCTACAAAACATACCAAAAAAAAAATAAAAAAAAAAATAGTTGGGCATGGTGACACACACCTGCAGTCCTAGATACTTGAAAGGCTAAGGTGGGAGGATCACTTGAGCCCCAGAGAAAGAGGTTGTAGTGAGCTGAGATCATGCCACCACACTCCAGCCTGAACAACAGAGTGAGACCCTATCTCAAAAAAGAGAACAACTGTATTTCAACTATGGCTTTGAATAAATAAGAAATGTTATGATAAATGATCTGAAAGTTGCCAGGCTTACAGATAAAAAATAGTCAAATATCAGCAATTTCATGTGAGTCAATTTAACATTATACTGACTTTTCAGTTTCTGCACTTGGAACATGGGATTAGTGCTATCTTTATCCACAAATTCAGCAGCCTTGCATCTTGAAGGTCAATGGTTTTGGATTTCCATGTGGTAGATCACATGAAGAATGAACCCTAGACCCCGATTATTCTGAGTAACACAGATCGGCTGCTCTTCAGAGGAGGGACATATGGAAAATCTGATTCAGAGAAGATGGATACACTGAGCCCACTCAGCACAAAAACTCCAGGAAGATGAGAGTAGGAGACCTCTAGATGCATCACCATTAATCTTATTGTTGTTTTTGCATTTGCAACTGATTAGAATCCTTTGTAACTAATTGTGATGCTTTGTAACTGGTTAGACTTTTTCATTCCCTCCAGGAACAAATTCCCATGGTCTGTTAGGCCATGGGCACTATGGATTCTTCCCTTATAGAATCCAATGTTGACAGAAGTCAGGAACCCTCAGGAATGCACGTAGAGGAGTTTTAAAAAGGTGTGCTTGGTCTAGTGCTTCAATAAAGCTGTCATTGTGGGCACTGGCAGCTCTGCGGAAATTCAGACCTTAGATAGTTAACCCAAGCATGTGACTGATAACAATTCAAAATCATTTTAAAAGATTGCACTTTCATAAAACGTTTCAATCATTAAGCATGTGTTTATTCTTATGGGATCTCTATATCCCCCAAGTCTAAGAGCTTTCACAGATACAAAAGGAGTCCTTGGGAAAGTTAAACACATTTTGAATTGTAGTTATTCACAGAGCATGAATATGACATCCCAGATAGTAGTCGCTGTTCACAGAAAAATATGTAATATATTGGAAAATGATCCCCTGCAAGGAAAACTTTTCAACTACAAGGATGCAGATATTGTACTTTTCATTAAATCCATCTTATACCCCTCATCCCCTAGGAACAAAAGGCACTGAGTTGCATTATTTAAAAATATAATATCTTACATTATAATAACTTCACGGCTAACTTTGTACATTTTTCCTCTTTTCCTCATCACTGTAACTGATCAGACAACTATGGCCGAGAGCACTTCCTGTACCAGGGAGAGTGTCGAGATAGCTGCCCAGATGGCCACTACCCCACAGAGGGGAACACCTGCCTGCCCTGCCCAGACAACTGTGAGCTTTGCCACAGTTCACATTTCTGCACAAGATGCATGAGGGGTTACTTCATAGCGCCCACCAACCACACATGCCAGAAGTTGGAGTGTGGACGAGGTAAGCCCGTTCTGGGGCCCATGCCCAGCACCAGAACATGGAGGGTGGGACTATGTCCTGGATGTCCTGGAGATTTGAATTGCCTTCCTGGCTTGCATGTTGGCACTTGGGATGATTTTGGGTGACTCCACACTCAAGTGGGGAGAGAGGTAACTTCCTCTTTCTCTCTCTGTTCATACAACCTTTCTCTGGGTTTCCCCAGACACAATCCAAGGTAGTAGGAAAACACTTAAGTGTATAGAAAATTGGCCAGGTGCAGTGGTTCATGCCTATAATCCCAGCATTTTGAGAGACCGAGACATTTGGATCACTTGAGGTCAGGAATTCAAGATCAGCCTGGGCAACATGGTGAAACCACGTCTCTACTAAACATAAAGAATTATCTGGGTGTGGTGTTGCATGCCTATAATCCCAGCTACACAGGAGGCTGAGTCAGGAGAATGGCTTGTACCCAGGAGGAGGAGGTTGCAGTGATCCGAGACTGCGCCACTGCACTCCAGCCTGGGTGAGAGGGTGGGAGAACAAGACTCCATCTCAAAAAAAAAAAAAAAAAAAAAAGAGAAAGAAAAAGAAAAGAAACTTGGGAAGTGGAGAGAAAATATGATTTGAATCCAAAAGTCTGGGTCAACAGTTTCCTCCTTCCCAGTTACTAGACATGAAACCCTGGGAAAAACTCATCTAATTTGCCCATGCCTTCATCTGTCCAAGGAAGAGAAGAGCGACAGGCGGCTTTGAGAAGCCAGTGAGACCTGGCCTAAAACTACCTGAAAATATTTGGTCTGAGAATCCTATGTGTTATTGTTATTGCCCAATTTCTTATCTTTTATGGGAAGAAGGAAATTAAAATACAACACTTACAGTTTCAGCTCTGTTCTATATAAGAATGCCACAGACTGTTATTGCTCTGCTCTGTGTAAGAATTATGTCTGGTCTGTTGCTGAAGAGAGAGCTCTAAGACATTTTTAGAATAATTAAGACACTCAATTCTGTTTCTCCTTAATGTTTATGAATGTAGTAAAAGATTTTAAACTTTTTTTTAAGTGTTTAGTAGAACAGATAAAAAGAGAAAGAGAACCTGTTCATTTACATACCCAATTCCATTTTCCCAGAAGCGGAACTGATTTCTTTAATAAATAAAATCTACCAGCTCGACTTCAAAACTAGCTTCCTAGCATATGGTCCGACCTGGTTCTCTTTGTACCCAATCAAGCCGATACAGTCTATCCAATTAATAGAAGGAGATTAAAAAGTAGAAACCACATATATCCTTGAGGATGGTTTTGGGCTTTGTAATTGCTCTATGATTTACTTTAAAATGAGCGGCATGCAAACATATTTTTATAGCAATTAACATGTCTCCACTCAATGGAAATGAGTTGTGTTTTTCACTTCTCTCTCTGTGTAGGTGAAGTCCAAGACCCAGACTATGAAGAATGTGTCCCTTGTGAAGAAGGATGTCTGGGATGTAGCTTGGGTATGTCCTCTTCCTTTGTCACCTAAAGAGTTGAAATAGCTGAGTTCTTGTCCACACATCCTCATCCTGTCATTGCCCTAGCAGGCACTCTTGTCATTGCTGTCAGCATCAGTGTTACCATCAATATCCATTAAGTAGGCTCTCTTCAATACAAACAGGATCATGGTGAGGAAATACTTGCTTCTGAAGCAATGAATGGGTTTCTTGTCTTTATGAAACTCAAGTTTAGAAAAGGAGGCTATGGCACCTTTTCCTCTGGTTGTCAGTGACTTGGTGGGGGCTGACCGGCAACCACATTTCAGGTGCCTGAGACTCAGCCTCTCCTTAGCTTCTTGAGGTAACAAATTTGGAACATCAACAGCGAATAAACTCAAGCAAAGATATGCCTAATTCCTCTAACTCACTTGGTGTGCAAAACACAAAAGTTTGTGGGTAGAGGGATGGGGGTTTTCCTTTATAAAAATGACTCTGTTGGGCAAGGCATGGTGGCTCATGCCTGTAATCCCAGCACTTTGGGAGGCCGAGGTGGGTCACCTGAGGTCAGGAGTTCAAGATCAGCCTGTCCAACATAGTGAAACCCTGTCTCTACTAAAAATACAAATATTAGCTGGGTGTGGTGGCACGCACCTGTAATCACAGCTACTTGGGAGGCTGAGGCAGAAGAACCACTGGAATCTGGGAGACGGAGGTTGCAGGGAACCAAGATCGCACCACCACACTCCAGCCTGGGAAACAGAGCCAGACTCCATCTCAAAAAAAATGAAAATAAAAATGACTCTGTTGCTTGGAGCCTAGAGAATAAAGCACCATGGTGACAACAGAATTGTAATGTCCATCATGCAATGCAAAGCGCTTATCACTCTCACATAGAACTCTTTAATTCAAGTCAGTGGCCCCTTCTTTCTTCTCTTCTCACATCCCTGGAGGAGATGGTGGAGACAGTTCGTAACACATGGCACCATTACGTTGACTATAAGGTGAAAAATAGCGAGGTTACCGAATTCCAGGATTGTTTCTTATTGTCCATTTAGGTAACATATAGAAAATAATTAGCATGTGGGATCTTTGAAAGGAAACTCAACTAAAAAGTTCCTGGAACAATTTCTCTTCATGGAACTTCCATGAAGCCTTGGGATTGGTTGACTAATGCTTCTAAAACTTCAGTATGGGCACAAATCACCTGGGGAATTTGTTGAAATGCAGATTCCGATTCACCAGCCTAAGGTAGGCTTGAGAATTTGTTTCTGACAAGCTGCCTAGTGAGGCCAATTCTGTTCTGTAGAATACTCACGAAGTTGCTAGGGGTTAGACCGTGCCAGAATGAAGTAGACTTTTTATTTGCCTTAACCAGTGGATTTTCTTAAAATTTTTTACTGATACATAATACTTTTACATATTTATGGGAAACGTGATACTTTGATATATGCATACGATATGTGACGATCAAGTCAGGGTAACTGAAATATCATCACCTCATACATTTATCATTTCTTTGTGCTAGGAATATTCTAAATCTTCTCTTTGAGCTAATTTGAAATTAATACTTAAATATTATATATGAATTATTATATCATTTTGTTCCAAGAATATTTGATGTCAATTATTTCTTTCTAACCAGTATCTTGAATGGAAATTTTAACTACTAAGATAAATCTAAGGGTTTTAAATTATGTTTCCTCCCTAACTGAGGATAGTTGAGCTAATGTGAAATTAATACTTAAATATTATACATGAATTATATTAGTTGAGCTAATTTAAAATTAATACTTAGATATTATACATGAATTATAATTTATATTGTGGCTATCACCACCACTCTTTGCCTTAAATGGAAAACATGCATTTTCTATAATATCTGTAACTACAAAATACAGTTTCTGGAAGCTTAAATACCATTCCGCTATTATCTTCCACTATAACATGATGCTTATATTACTGGATAATAAAATCTCATAGTAAAGTTAATAAACAAGAAGATAAATTTGGATCAGATATTTAAGGTTAAAAATGCTAATTATGTGGGAGGTAAAAATTAAGCCTAGGCATAAATAATAAAAGTACTGAAGTAAAGAACTATGAGCAAATTCCAGCGTCTGTCTCATGAAGTGATAGAAGGTGATTTTGCACAGAGCAATGATGAATGTTTTGACTATCTTGATTTCACTGTGTGCCCATTTCAGATGTATTTTCTGATTAAGTCTCACACTCCAGCTAACTTCTGTGGTCTTCTCTGGCATCTCTGCTGTTGTGTGTTGCGTACCCATCCTAGCATCTTTGTGCATCTTGGAGTGGGGTTGTGCATAACCTAAAGCCTGAGAATTGCGCTGTCTTGGCTCTGTTCAGTGATGACAGTGGGCCAAGTCCACCCAGGGAAGGAACTTGAAGCTTGAAGGAACCTGAAAAAACTTCAAGGTTCAAGTTCCTTCCCTGGGAAGTTCCTTCAAGCTTCAAGACACCATGAGATGGAATGTACGAATATGTGTGAACTTTCTCAGGATCAGTGAGGATCTTGGCATGGAGGTGGGAACAGTGACAAGACAACCATGATCACTAGGGGCTGCATTGGGCTCATCCTCCACTTAGTTGACCCAGCTAAAGATGAGACCGAGGGGAAGCACTGGAAATGGAGTCCACAGCAGACACTCATCCTCTGGAGACTCAAAATCCAAAAGACTCAACTTGCGAAAAGAGATAGATTAGAAAGTTTGATTTACTTTACAAAGTGCTATTAAACTTTTCAGTCCATTCATTACTTAAGACACATTGTCTACGGTATGCTGAGTGCTCACCTTGGTGGTGAGAATTTCAAAGGTGATATGGCTGTGATCTTGCTATAACGGATACCAGGAACTGTCCCAAGTGAAATACCTAGAATGAAATCTCTGCAACGGCAAACTGCCAGAGTAGAGACAGGTCTAAAGTACAGTGACACCACCAGAAAGGGTGACAAGAGCATTCTAAATAGCTTTAATTTCTCATTTTAAATTCTAAAATTTCCCTTAATTTATATTATCTCTATGTATTGGGCCTCATGTATTCTTGGATTGACTTGGCTGAACTCAGTTATCACCTTATTCCTGAACCCTCTGTTGCTCTCTCCAATAGAAAAAATTCTCCCATGTGTAGTTTCCCTTTATTTGTTAGGCCAGTGATGATACCTTTTACAGTGTGACTGTAAATAATTTAAAACCCTTAGGTGACTAGTATATTTGGTATGTACACAACTTTCTGTCTGGACACTGAATTACCTGAGAACATGCTCTTTGACTTATATGCTCTGAACTAGCAGAGTGCCCAGGACATAATAAATGCACAATTAATGTATGAATGTTTGTTGAATTGAATTTGAGAATTGCCCAAATTCAAAGCAAAGATGAATGGCTTAGGATACATAAGGACTCAGATTTTCTTGTTTTCTCTAATCAAACTTTGATTATCAACCAAGAAGAAGAAAAAAAGAAATCCTACAATACAAAAATAAATTATTTTGGCCAGGTGCAATTGCTCACAACTGTAATTCTAGCACTTTGGAAGGCCAAGGTGGGCAGATCACTTGAGCCCAGGAGTTTGAGATCAGTCTGGGAAACATGGTGAAACCTTGTCTCTACTACAAAATACAAAAAACTAGCCAAATGTGGTGGCATGTGCCTGTGGTCCCAGCTACTCAGGAGGCTGAGGTGGGAGAATCACCTGAACTTGGGAGGTCAAGGCTGCAGTGAGCTATATTCATGCCACTGCACTCCAACCTGGGCAACAGAGGAAGACCCTTTCTCAAAATAAATAAATAAATAATTTTTCATGAACTATTGGCACTGTAAGGAAGCTTTGAACAGACCATGGTTTATTACATTTTATAATTTTAAAGAGATAAATACAAACTTGAAAAATCTGAATAATGTGCTATAAATTTCCCCAGGATTCTTCCTGAGAGAACAGACATCGTCCTTTGGAGAGAATTTAACTTTATTCCATTTTAATAATGTAGATTCACCTCTGGGCCAGATCTAGATGATCTCTAGGGGAGCCTGAGAAAAGCAAAATCAGTCATCGTGAGACATTTTATCTACATTATATCATAATTAGCTGTTGAAAATCCTGGGTTTGTTTTTTGTTTTGTTTTTTTTTTTTTTCAGTTTTGTATTCCTTTCCAGCTATTTAGTGAACATTAATAGCTGTCTCTTAAACCTAACAAGAAAAAAAACTCAAATTCCAGAGATTTCTGGAATCTCATCTGGTTTCTGGGTGGAGCTAGCCATCTGTCATTACAAGGAAAGATTACCAAAAAGTGGGCAGAAAACTAAACTCATGACCAAAAACGATTATTTTATCTGGAGGAAAATATTGAATTAGATACTTTGAGACAAAATAAGAATTTTTTTTAAATTATGAGATTCGATTTCTCTTCTTTATCAAGTTGTAAACAAATAGTTAACATTTTATATAAAACCATTTTGTTCCAAGAATATTTGATGTCAATTCTCTTTCTAACCAGTATCTTGAATGGAAATTTTAACTAAGATAAATCTTTAAGAGTTTAAAATTATATTTCTCTACTAACTGAGCATAGAAGTAAATGGAGTAACTTTTACCTAATGTTTTGAGGCACCTTTTGTTTGTTTGTTTGTTTGTTTAATTTAGGGATGGTAACAAAAACTATGACACTTAACTGTAACCTCAACTCCAGAGCCCATACTGACCTCACCACTGACTTGATCATTGATTTTCATCAAATTACGTAAGATCTTCTTACTTTTCTACCTCATCAATAAATATAGTAGTTAATGTGCCCTTGTTTTAACTTAGAAAGAGACAATGAAAATGTATTAGTATTTGCCCATTGAAATGGCTTAGTCTCCACCCTTGGGATAAAACATATCCAAATTTTAACATTTTAAGGAATTGCAAAAAAAGAGAAAGACTATATAAATTCAGTGCCAAATAAGGGGACAAATATATGCACCAAAAGGAGTTTTTAAAAAAGAGAACCTCTAGGCACTGAC